CACATAACAACAACAGATTAGACCTACTGTATAGAATTTTCAAGACTGACTTTTCAGAAACAGGTCACCCTGCCTGTCTTCTGAAGCAGCTTTGGATGAGTTCACATTGACAGCCTTTTGGCTACCAGCGAAGTGTCTAAATATTAGCACCATCCAGGATGACTCTTCAACTAAATTACTCAAAAGTAAACCTGCTTTTTTTTGTTGTTACAACAGAACAATAACTCAAAGAATCCAATGAAAAATTGTCAAAAAACATGGTTATTTGCCAAAGAAGATATACATACAGTGACTAGAAAAATACATGAAAAGATTCTCATTAAGAGTAATCATTAAGGAAGTACCAATCAAAACCACAATGAAAGATAACAAACACATATGCCCAATAAAATGACCCAGATTTTTTTTAAAAAAATAAGAAAACCATAAGAACTGGCAAAGAAGTGGAAAAAGAAGACTAGTGGGACTAATGTTGTTAGTAGGATTGCAAAATGGTACACCTCTTTGGAAAACAGTTTGAAGGTTGTGATTCAGAGTTGGTTCTGCTCTTATATATATAACCAAAAGAATGAGAAAATCAAAGTACAAATAGATGTACACTAGTTTTCATTGCAACACTATTCACAGCATTCAAGATGGAAACAGCCTAAATGTCTATCAGTAAATTAATTAATTAGCAAAATGTGTTGCATACATAAGTGTTATAATTGTGAAGTGCCATTGAGTCAAGGACAACTCATAGCTACCCCATGAACAATAAATCTGAACTTTATCGTATCCTGCGCCACCTTATCATCCTTGACACATTTGAGTACATTACCACAGACATGGTATCAATCCATATTCCTGAGGGTCTTCCTCTCTTTCTCTGACCTTCCGCATTTCCAAGTATGTTATCCCTTTCCAAAGAATAGCTTTTCCTAATAATAAGTCAAAAATACATGAGACGAAGCTTCACTATCTTTGCCTCCTAGGAACATTCTGATTGTACTTCCTCCAAGACATATATAATTTTTTCTTTTGTCTGTCCATGGGATATTAAGCACTCTTCTCCGACACTGTAACTCAAATGTATCGATTCCTCTCCTATCATCCTTATTCACTGTCCAGCTCTCAGAGCAAGGTAGGTGATTAGAAACACTGACTTGCGGGAGCTCTGGTGGCCTAGTGGCAAGACGCTGCACTACAATCCCAGAGGTGGTGGTGTTGTTGTTATGTGTCGTTAAGTCGCCTGCGACTCATAGCGACCCTATGTACAACAGCCCTAAACTCCGCTCTGTCCTGTGCCAATCGCACCGTCTCTGACACTCCCATCCCAATTATCCCAGTCACTGAAGCAATCCACCTCATAGAGGGCCTTCCTCTCCTGTGCCGTCCCTCCACCCTCCCAAGCATGATGTCCCTCTCTA